AGGAAACGTTTTTTTTTATTTGTACTCTGATTCTTATTTTATGTAAAAGATTTTTATGATAGTTCTTTATTAGTATCCATATTTTTTTATGTTTTCTGAATAGGAAGGGCCGTATATGTTTACTATGAAATAGTACTATCGGTATTCGTACCACGACAAGAACTTTTTGGAATAAGGGTGATATTTTAGAATTTTTGTATAGTAAAATATGTATATACCGCATATCTATCGACTTGTTTGACTTGTCTGTATGAATCTCAACTTTTGTTTAAATCTTTACACATCTCATATGCGGCAGCCTGATTACAAACATTTTCAAGTTTAGATTTACAAACTCTGGTACAGTTACGTTCTCAAGTAGCAGTAAAAAATGAAAATAAAAGAATTAACAGAGTAAAAGCATGTGTGCCAATTTCACCTGTAAAACACGTTTCCAATTTTTACAAAAATCTTTTTACCAAAATCCTGTACATCGCGTTTTAGCTGCAGCTTAAAATGCCCATCCCTGTAATTATTGCACATTGCTTCTAAACCTAAATCGTCTAAATTGCTTCCAGGTACGGTGGCAAAATAACTATTCGACGCAATACAGTGCTGAGAAATTCATACAGATGCAAGGGATGTGCGATACACGTGCACACAAATTAAGTTAGTTGAACCTAGGATTGTCACCGTTTTATATTTTTTATTAAAAAGTATAGTGAAAAGTATAAACTATAAGTTTAACGGGTCTGTGTGTGTGTGTGTGTGTTGTTCTTAGAATGTTTGATGAAAATCGGTCCAAGATGGCCGCCGCCACAAAATGGAGGATCATATATTTTTCAAACCTCCCTCAATATGGGTATCAAATAAAAGAGCTTGACTAGTAAAATTATATGACAAATTTCAAATCCAAGATATGTGTTGGGGGTTTTTAATATTTTTATTTTCACTAACTTTTTAATTATTTTATTTTCATTTTAATATTCTGTGGCGTGCAATGGGAGAGGCCTATGTAAAGCAGTGGACTGCGATAGGCTGATGATGATGATGATTTATCATCTATTTTGCTTTATCACTAATTATTACTTATATTATAACTTACAAAAATCATCTAACAATTTTAAACTGGAAAGGTTTCGCTATTTTTCGATACAAATTGCTCTCGTGTAAACCAAATACTATGATACCATGCGAAGTAAATATTTGAAGTTAATTTCGATAGAAAAAAATACTTTTACACGTAATATGAATAAATAATAATAAAGTGAAATAAAGTTTTGATTTCGTAATTCGGTATGTTTCGTTTCAAATTCACCAACTAAATAAAAAAAAATAGTACCTAATATGTCCATATTCGCAAATCTTAACAATAATAATAAATCCTTTTAAAAAAAAATGAACCGTTTTCAAACAATACTAACAAAGAGCACTAAAAATCTAGCAGCAATCGCGGTTGATTTGCTGTCATTTTCTGAAAAGTTCCGTTATCTGTCTCCGAAACTGATCGTCAGATCTATAAGAAATTTAAATGGACCATTTCGGCATAAACCCCTTTAGAAAAAAAAATGATTTTGAAAATCCGTCTATATATGACGGAGTTATGCCCAAACATACATAAAAAAAACCCAATACAAACACCCGAATTGATAATAACCTCCTCCTTTTTGAGGTCGGTTAATAAATAATCATTATTTGTCTTCGTACACTTAAAAGGTTTTTAAACTCGATACAACAACTATTAAAATCTTATTTTTATCGAAAACTGTGTTCTACCTCGTAGTTCTTGACTCAGGATATCAGGATAGCTCCATTCTTATGTGGACAATAATAGAGTGAAGCCATGTTATGATTACAGGAGTTTAGGGCCACCTATAAACAGACTACCTTCTTTTACCGTTACTTTACCGTTAGTTTGCAAATTCTTCGGTAAAGTTCCCTAAATTGATACAGTTCAAAATTATTTTAAAAAAACTTATAGTTCATTGCGTGGCAACCCTGAACACAAACACGGGGACCGTCAATTTACTGGCCGCAGTCATGAGCTCGCATGCGGTCAACGCAAACTTAGTGTTGCCCACTGTCGTATGTTGTCGGTATTAAATTAATTGCCCATTTTTATGTGATATAATTGACAAGCATATTTTTCTTCAGCAAAATACAGAGTATCTTCATGTAAAACGATGTTGATTAAAACTGTTTAGAGTGTGTAAGTTTACAGTTGGTTAGATTTTAAAAAGCTTTGTGGAGGAATGGGTGTCACGTACCTCCAACACTAGGGGAGGATATTGCGACCAGGCGAAGTGATCATGCCTGGCGGACTGCAGCCTAATCATAAGAGAAACTAAATAACATTGGAAAGAGGTAATATGATTATGTTAATGATTATACGTAGTTAATTTCTTGTTTAACTCAAAATGAAACACACATCACATCACATCATCATCAACAGCCTAAAATAGTTCACTGCTGGACATAGGCCTCTCCTTTGAAAGGAGGATTTGGCCTGCTATAGGGTTTGTTTCAAGTTTTCTCTGCTCAAATAAAACAAGCGCTATGTATTTCTTTCCGTCGGTGATTAAAGCTATAATGAAACTACTTAGTACATATAGCCGCTGATCATTAATTAAATTGCTATAATTTTAGGAACATTAACAACTTACATGTAAACATCAGTATGCTCACGCTGGCCTGACAGGTTGGTATAGAGTTTGTTCAAGTTAACCTTCTCTTTGCAGTGCTGTTGTGTTGCGTAGTTTGCTCCCTTAGTCGGCTCTTACGACACAAGCGGGATGAACAACGGTGGTGACACTCCGTATTATTAATACATCACCACACGGATATTATGACTCTCTTATGACGCTATTTTCTTAGGACTCTTGAAATGCTGGTGTCCTTATGCAGTAGTCACTTACTATCAGGACAAACGACGGGCCTGTTCGTCTAGTGGTTAGTGACACTGACAGCTAAACCGAAGGTCGTGGGTTCGATTCCCACTCAGTCAGTCATTTGTTCTGTGTCTGGGTGTAATTTATCTATATGTATCTATTTCAAATATATATAAGTACGTATATCAGCAGTCTGGTTACAGGCTCTGCCTAGACTCTTTGGAATCAGACGGCCGTGTGTGAGATATATTATATAATTGTCCCTATATCATTTAAAAACAAAAGTATTAAAGTAAATCTGCTCAAAAATCGTTATACCTACATAAATAAAAATTTCAACCTACTGAGAGCCTTTTACACTTTTAAAGACAGCTATTATTTCTATAATTAATTTATATAATTCATATTTAATATCTATAATTCAGAAAAAAAAATTAAATTTAAAAAAATCATCTCAAATTGTTTAAAAATAAATTCGATTACAATTTTTTTTCAGAAGATGAAAATCTAAAAACCACAGCAATACAAATGAAACTCATCAAACAAAGTATCCTGTAAATAAAAGTTCACCATTTGTGTTCACTTCACTCCAGGGAATGTAGACTATTAACAAACTTTACGGACATTTTTCACCAGTTAAACCAAAGCAAAAAGCAGTTAAATTTCATGAAAATATGGACGCATGCACCCGGTGTGCTTAATTCCACGTTCGGATGACTTTGTGGTTTTATGGAAAGAAATTTAGTAACACTTACCACAGTGGAAAATAACCTTTAGAAATCAAAAGTAAGAGAGTTAAGAGAATTATATTACGTATCTTGGTTATTTTTCGATTCCTTAAATTGCTCCATTAAATTTTTTCCTCCGTCCTTATTTGTTTTTCTCTGGAAAGTGGCAAAATAAGTATGAGTCGTTTTAAAATATAATATTTGCATTACGTAGCTATTACGATAAAATGATGTTTTTAAAAGCCGAAATTAGAACCAAACCTGATTTAAAACAAACGTAATCATTTGATTCTTACCGCCGTCTCCAGGTGTTCTAGAAAATATTTAAAGGGAGGCTAGGCTAGGCTAATTTTGTCACAAATACCACACAAAAGAGCATGTAACTCTCGGTAAACTTCGGTTTTGCTACAAAGCCTAGCATTAGTTGTATTAGCTAGCATTTTGACTGCACGGATGGCGTAGTGGTTTAAGAGGTCACTACACCGCTTACTACTACGCCGAGTGTTGTGGGTTCGATCCCCACATAGGAAGACACTTTGTGAGATCAACAAATTGTTGTTCTGAGCTTGGGCGTCCTTTGTGTCCGTTTCATGTATATTTGTAAAGTCCCCCGCAACACAGAATATATTCCTAATGCGGAAGTTTGTCTTTAAAAAAAAACAATCAGATTTAAACTTTTTCGTAATTCCGATTTCCAAATGGAACAAAAGACGGAGTTCGGATTTTAAAAAAACACGTCAACCACAAATCTGCACTCAATTCGTCTCTGTTTCCATTAGCTAATTGCAATTGGTCGTGATTCTGGCCACATTTTACTGTACGACCAATCGAATGAGGTTCGAATTTTAAATCGTAAAGTAATTGAAACTTTGTTGAATGCGGTCGGTGGAGCAGTCAGGACGTCGATTTCACAATAAATTAATGACGGTAGTATAAAATCAGTTTTCTAATGAATTGACATAAAATGTTTTATGTTTATTATTTTTATGTTTAATTAAGCCCATCTAAAATGAGATCTTTAATTATTAAACGCACTTATAGTCCATCAACGTCGTGCGCGACCGTCCTGCGGGGTGACAGACGGTGGCGGGGACGAGGTAACGCGTCATTCTAGCACACGGCTACACACTAAGATAAAGAAATATCATAGATGGATTATATTTTAGTTGAACAAATTTACCATCAACGTTGTTCGTTCCTCTAATGCCAACATTGCGTGTGATAAAATGAGATAGCAAGAGCCGATCGTGCACGTCTCGAAGCCGTGCGCGCCACCAACCGATGACAGCTATATTTGTTTGTTAACCAACTGGTTGATAGTGACGGCTAAAGAATTTTCTGAATTATTGGTTTTCTGTATATAATAAATCGGACTGTGCTTATCAGATCGTATTAATTATTTTAAATGGCGTGTACCGTTGCCGGCTGTTCAAGTCGATTGGGTGTTTTGACGGAGAATAATGAGAATGTATCATTCCATCGGTAAGTCATGCTCTTGATTTATGTACTTTTCGAAATTAAATCGTAAATACTGAAACGTTATATCATAATTAAAATCAATTATTGTTAGCTTAGAAATGTTTTTCACCTGAATTTAGCGCCTATGTTGTCTTGTTTTCATAAAATATTATTTTATTTACTTTATAGTGTTGTAGGTCCAAAATTCTTAATCCCAATATCGATAAAAAACTTTGGGGCTAAGAACCTGCGAACCCCAGACCTTTTTTATTTTATAAAAGCTGTGTTTTTACAACACCAAACTTTAAAAATAATAGAACCTTACCTACTTACGTTTCCGATTTTTGCAGATTTCCGGCAGACGTCGACTTGAAAAAATTATGGGTTAAAAATGTAAGGAAAGGAGATGAATGGAAGCCCACACAGTATACCAGGATCTGCTCTTTACATTTTGATAAATCTTGTTTTCGTGAGGGTTATGGACGAAAAACCCTACATTCGTACGCAGTACCAACAATATTTCCTAATCAACCATTATCGCGTCGACCAGTGAGTGCAAAACAATTATAATTAAAATAACGTTTAATCAAGGTGTAAGTAATTGGTGTTCATAATAACAACATGACTGTATGTATATTTTCAGAAATTACCTACAAAAAGAAAACTTATACCGAAATATGGCGAGACCTCTGCTGCGAGAAAAGACGAGCAACGGGTACGTCGATTTTTATATGCAATTACACTTCTTAAATTTATATACACATTATAGTTTTTTTTTTTTTGCGTAGAAGCTTAACGTTTTCTATTCTCTTCCAGCTCCACGGCTCTCTTCCAAAAATGGATCGCACAACTCAAACAGAAAATATTGGCGAAACCGCTATTGATACTAAACTTCGAAAAGCGACTAGATTAGTAGAGCATTATAAAGTAATAGCAACAAGACGTGGTAGAAAATTAAAAAACTTACAACGCAATTTTTGTCGGCTTAAAAAGAAAAATACTGATTTAGTTACCATTATTCAAGCACTTAATGAGAAACTGGAAGATGAGAATGTTACAGTTTTAAAAAATAGTTTGGGCACAGATCCAGTCGTATCGAGATATTTGATGAAATCGCAAGGGGCTTCGTTGCCTAAAGAATATCCAGAGGAAATAAAAAAGTTTGCATTAACGCTTCACTTTTTATCACCCAAAGCATATTGCTTTGTCCGAGATGCCTTCGATACAGTGTTGCCGCATCCCAAGACCTTATCAAGGTGGTACCAATCCGTCGAATGTAAACCTGGCTTTACTACAGAATCATTCGAAATATTAAAAATGCGTTGCCAAAACTCAAATAAAGTAATTTATGGCGCATTGACCATGGACGAAATTGCAATAAGGAAGCAGTTACAATGGGATGGCACAAAATATCATGGCCACATTGACATCGGCACTGAGGTCGTCGGCGACGATCTTCCACTTGCAACTGAGGCCTTAACGTTTATGTTAACATGCATTAACGAGTCGTGGAAAATACCTATTGGGTATTTTTTAATAAACGGAGTATCCGGTCAACAAAAAAAGAATTTAGTGGAACAAGCTATCCGGTTACTGATTGAACATGGTATAACAGTTGTGTCACTGACGTTTGATGGGACTGCAGCGAATGCAGCGATGGCAACACAATTAGGATGTGATTTAAATCCAGACAATTTACGATCTACTTTTAGAGTAGATTACCATGAAGTTGCAATACTTTATGATCCCTGTCACAACATAAAGTTAGTGCGAAACGCCTTAGGTGAAAAGCATACATTGCTAGATGCTGATAATCAAGTCATATCATGGCACTTTTTAAATATGCTTCAAAATTTGCAAGTGGAAGAGGGGCTTCACGCTGCTAATAAATTGTCAGCAGCACATATTCAGTACGAAAAACAAAAAATGAAAGTGAAGCTTGCCACTCAATTATTGAGTAATTCTGTGGCAGATGCATTAGAGTTTTGCCACGAAATGCAAATTCCAGCATTTGAAAACTGCGAAGCTACCATAAAATTCATCAAACATTTCAATAATTTGTTTGACATACTTAATTCCAGAAGTTTATTGTCTAAAGGCTACAAAAAACCATTAAATGTGCATAATATTCTCAAAGCAAGAGAAAAATTACAAGAAATTGATGAATACATTGACGGATTGAAATTGTCTGACGGCACGTTTATCGTAAAGTCCAGGAAAAAGACAGGATTTGTGGGCTTCAAAATTTGCATTCGATCCGTTTTGTTTATATACGAAAAATATATTTCAAACACAAATCCATATCTCAGTTATTTACCTGTTTACAAGTTATCGCAAGATCATATTGAAGTGTTTTTTGGAGCAATCCGGTCATTAGGTGGGTTCAATAATAATCCTTCAGCAAAAGCCTTTATGACAGCGTACAAAAAATTGTTAGTGCATGCCGAATTCAAAATCAGCAGAAATGGCAACTGTTTACCCCTCGAAGACATTAGGATATTACACACCGCTAAAAAACAGTATATTCAAGCCTTAAACCAAACAACAGAGAGATTCAAAATGCTTGATGGTTCTACCGAAGGTCAGGCAACTGTTAATTTCCGAAAAGAAATGATTGCTGATCATGATTATATTCCAGACCCAAACATACTTACTGAATACAGTGAAAATATAATTGCATACATAGCTGGCTATATAGTTAAAAAAATTAGGAATCAAATATTATGTGAACATTGTTACCAGGCTCTTGTGACTGATGAAAATAAAAGTTTTTTAATTCGAGTTAAAGACAAAGGTGGTCTGATTAAGGCTTCAAATGATGTCATACGCATTTGCAAGTACACTGAAAAAGTTTTTCGTCAATATTTAAGAACCAACGGAGCAAGTAAAGTCGGGCTACCTAATATTATACAAAAAATTACCATGGATGTTTTCGAAATATGCGGTGGTACGGATGCGTTTTCAGAGTTGATTACTCACAGCTACGATAACTGCGTGCTAAACAACCATTTACATTTAATAATTAAGTCAATTGTAGATTTTTATTTGATAATTCGTGTACATCATGAGTCTAAAAAAGCTTCAATACCAAAGGGCGAGAATGTCCGAAATTTTTACAATAAACTTGTTTTGTTTAAGGGTCTATAATTCAAAATATAAATATTTTTGTTCGAAATTTCGCCTTTAATTTTGGTTCGACAACTTTGGTACAAAGAAAGAGTACATACATAGGTAGGTAGGGTTTCCCCGCTTAAGTTTAAAAGCCTAAGGTTATTTTAATTTTGTTAATGTTTCTACGGTTTATTAACCCAATCTTTGGTTACCTACCGACAAAGCGCGATAGTAAACGGCTAAGGGTCATAACACACATAGTAACTCGCAAAGAGGAGTCAACTTATCGTTAGTTATGTGATTACCAAAGCGGATTAGCAGCACTTTAAAAAATAGTACTGTTCTTGCTATTTCCCGAGTACAAGCGGGTAAAATAAGTTATTTTAAAGTAGGTACTAACTTCTAAAATCAAATTTCGTAGTTAATTTTTTTAATCGTTAACTAACTTAATAATTCCCTATTGAGTAATTCATTTATTTAGATTAGTATACCTTACGTTCTCGTAACAAAAATATACAATATCATTTGGTTGCAATTTCGTCGAATAAAGAAGTTTTTGGAGGCAAGGCACTGATTTCGTTTCGTGCTTGGCTTTGTATTGTGAAGAACTAAAGTGCTGCAAACTAATATAGTGTCTTAACAATTCACTGAATGTACAAAAGGCTACCGATAAAGTAAATGAATTTCAATATTACCTCATCATCGGCAAGCCCGTAACATCATAGGTATGTATCACGTCATGCAGTTCAAGCCGCCGTCTAAGTACAGTTATTAAAAACACAGCTTATAATTTTCATTACATTACGCCTTGCCACTTGCCTTCGTTTAGGTGCGCCTTGTCGTTCTCCGCACCTCTGTCACTGCGGAGAAACTGTTGACAGTATCAGACATCACAGCCTGCTTGTACCAGAAGCGCTGGCCCTATATCTCAACATGCCAATATTCATGACATTATCCTTTGTGCTCTTGTTATCAGCGGTGTTCCAGCTGTACATGAACCCAATGGTCTCATACGAGGCGATGGAAGATGGGTAAGCCTTTTGAGTAAGACGCAACTTGCGTCGACACTCTCGCGCCATCATATCTTTGAGGCAAAGCTGGTTTTGCCACCGCTGCTGCTACATCCGCAGGAAGCCTCAAATTTTGTAAATACCAAAACTTGGTAGGTAACTAAATTTTTGAATAGTCATCCTCTATATAAACAATTAGCTAAGCAACTGATCTACACTTATCGGGACCAGAAGGTCAGCCTTTTTCTATTATAGAGAATTAGCGTTGTCATTCAACGTGGCAATGATGCCAGTCTTCTGGAAACGCTGCCAGTAGGCGATGGCGCGGAGTATTTTTTTGACGCTTTATTGTAAATATTTTAATTTTATTATATTAGTTATTTTAAGTCATATATAAAAGTCTGTTAATAATTATGTAATCTAAATACAAAATATAAAAACTTTCTTGTTATTAACCGTATCAAGTATAAAATGCGAAAAATTATGGGTAAAACCAGTAGTCTACATTTTTAACTACTCTATTAAAAACGTAGTATCGTAGGCCTTACATTTATAAATTCCACACGTAAAAAGTATAGGTATTAACTAGTACATAAATATAAGTACAGAATTATATATCATAGTCATATTAAAAATTCAATGTATAACTAAATAATGTGATCGTGTATGTATGCACTATTTTATCGATATAAATTAAACACTTCACTGGCACAGCACTACTGAACAAATATCAATTGATAATATTGTACTGTCAATTTGGAGACATTTTATGTTTCGAACCACTAGAGAAATGATCACTATCTCTTTCTGGCTTACGCAACAATCTGTTAGTATGAAAAAAGACAACAATAGCTTTTTCGAGCTTGCTTAAAATAATCCATCTAGGTATTTCTTTATCTTAGGCTACACACGATTCCCTTCCCCGCTACACCACCCGCTGTACTGTACACCCGCTGTACGCGGGGACGAGGTACTCAAGATGTCAGCGGGTGCTGACATCTTGAGTACCTCGTCCCCGCCACCGTCTGTCACCCCGCGGGACGGTCGCTCACGAGATTGCCGGGTTATAGTAACTACGGAAACTGCATCGCGCAATGCAAGTTCTAACTCCAATATATGGTTATAGAGCGTTACCTAAACAGATCAGATGAACTTATCATTCAAATAATTAACTTTTGATAAGTATTATCGACTTCAATGCACCTTTATCATGATGCCTTAATTTTGTATTTTAGAAATGGCAATTTTTCTTCAAATTTGAATGGGACTAAACAGGAAGTATATCCTCCAATAAAAATTTTTTTTTCACCAGTTACTCAGGAATAAACACCAAAAAAATACATTCTGAACCTCCTTTCTTAACTCAACACAAACAAATGTGATACAGAGACATACATAAATAAACGTGCTAATTTCTGTTTCAGAATTAAAAATCATGTTTCTTTAAAATTTAACCAATATTACAAAGAGTTATAAAACGAAACTTTAAGTTCTTTTGATACGGACCTCGTGCTACGAGGGAGTAAGTGGTGTAAAAGTAGTGGCTAACATTGTACGAGGGGCTATGAAAAGATGGAGAAGGCTAATTGACAATATCCTCAACGAATAGCTCATAATAAAATAGGCCTAGTTTGATTTGTAAAATCTGTATATTTATTAGATTGGTCAGATGCACCGCCGTCCTTGATGTTCAAGAGTTTTATAACTATTAACAATTGTTAATCTCTCTTCAGAATTAAATGGTAGTAGTGCCCATCTTAAACACTCAACTAACTAAAACCAAAATAAAATGGACTTGTGTAATGATAACATGTGTTATGATTTGAAGGTAGTTGTAGTTTTCGTATATGCTTAAGTATTAACAATTGCTTTAATATCAAATATAGTATGTTAGTTTTTAGGGTTACTAAGAGTATAAGAGTAAGTTATGATAATGTGTGTGCATATACGTGCGTGTGTGTAGAAGGTAATTTGAGCGACTTATACATATAACCAATATAAAATAACATTGAATGAGAAGTTAAATTAAAGATTAAAATGTATTCTAGTAAAATCTTCATTAAAACGGGCCTGTGGGTCTAGTGGTTAGTGACCCTGACTGCTAAACTGGAGTTTAGCAGTCAGGGTCACTAACGTGGTCGTGGGTTCGATTTCCACCCAGGACAAATATTGTGTGATAAGCGCGGTCATTTGTTCTGTGTCTGGGTGTAATTTATATATAATATGTATCTATTTAAAAATATATAAGTATGTTTATCAGCAGTCTGGTTACCATAGTACAGGCTCTGCCTAGTTTGGGATCATAGTGACATGTGTGAGATATATTATATTATTATTATTACTTAGGTATTTGTTATCGTTTGTTGACATATAGATATTGTTTATGTTTTAAATTATGGTGTTTCTGACATAGGATTTATTTATTATTATTACTTCAACATAACCCCACTTGCGTGTGTGACAAACAAGTCATCCTTAAATGTCTTTATTATTACGTAATGATAACTAAAAACAATTGTGAAAATCAACTCCATACCGCCTTTCTAAGCTCCGTGTTTAGATCCTTTACTTGAGGCTAAGAGTGGCTAAGAGCCTCTTGGCTTGACCAGGGTCACTCTTTGACGATTTATAGCATATACTTGTGTTTAATTATGAACAATAAATGTTTCTATAGTAACGTTGGCGATGGGTGCACTCTTTTATGTTTAATTTAAGTAACCAGCATCATCACTAAAAAAAATTGTATTTTATTAAATTATTTAACTAGCATCACTAGTTAAATAATATTATGTAATACTTTTTTATGATTTAGAGGGTTTTTTAATGGGATTCTTTTTCCAAAGGTGATTTGAAAAGAAACCAGTCCACAATTACCAAATTAAGAAATCTTTGGACTTCTGCAATAAATATATTCGTTTAGACATCAAGTATTCCCAGAGGAAAAGTAATTACCCAAGTTCTGTTCGAATACGATTCTGTTACGATATTCCAACTATCCGATTGTGCAAACTGTGGTCAATTTAACTTGGCCTGGAGTGTACTCTGCACACAGAGCTCTAAGTTATTTCCTATTGTAAAACAAGGTTTAAATCCTTTGTGAGAGTCGCCTTGGTTTGGCTGGATTTACGCTGTAAATATACTGTCTTATGACTATGACACGGATTACAAAATAATTCTGACTAATAATAAATTATTGAAACGAATTTACGTTTGACACAATCTTAATTATAACTGCACGTCACATTGTTTCGTGATTTAATAAGGAGGCAACATAATAATAATGTCCTGCATAATATAACACCGCTTAATTTAAGTTTAATTTAAATGAATTTTAGTTTAAAAAACTATAAAACATGTTTTTGTAGCTAGCCGAACTAAACAGTAGGAAGTTGGAAGTAGAAAAATAATTTTGTCGTAAAAAGCGTGGGGTGCTAGATCTCAATTGTTGTAAAATATTTTACTGACAGATATTGGTCAAAGTAAAGTTATTATATTATAAAATACCTTAGAAAGTACCCACGCGTTTTTCCAATAAAATGATACTTCTTTTTGAACCTATAGAAAATTATTTCCTACTTTTTAGTTCACCTAGCTACAAAAGCGTGTTTTTTTAGATTTTTAAACTATAATTTATTTTTCCTTTTAAGTCATTAATGATGATTATTATCTAAAAAAAGTGACAAGGAAGTTTATCATTATAGATGATAGGTCAAATTTAAATTATTGGATTATCATCGGTCCTTGCTAAGTGTGCAAAGTTTTGAAGTGGGTCAAAACCACGAAGATTCCGTTACATACATATGTACATAGATACATACCAAGCTAATAAAAGCGTGTTAAAAAGATTCATCGATCGACCCACTACATATAAAACGTTTATTTTGTATTTATTTTCTGTACCCTCAAAGAGAAACCCTTTGAAAAGACAATGTTAAATAATTATAATCCACAAAACATGCTTGAAATAGAAAATTCAGGCATATCAAATGGGGACCTTTGATGTTTGTTTTCTTTTATAGTGAAAAA